AAAAAAAAAAAAAAAAAAAAAAAAAAAAAAAAAAAAAAAAAGAAGAAAGGAGGAAAAAAAAAAGAAAAAGGCCCAACATTTTGTCCCAATTACACAGATGCCGCGAAACAAGCCGGGTGCCAATGGGAAAGGGCTCAGCCAGCAGCGATGACTCCTGGCATCACCCATCCCTCCTACGTGACCTGACAGCCTCCCCAGCGGCCCCGCAGCTCCGCTGTGCCCTGTCACGGAATCTGCCCGCTCAGCAAACGCGCTCCATTTTCCTGCCAGCAGCGCGGTGTCCGCTCCGCCGCAGCGCTTGCGAGCGCAGCCACTGCCGAGCAACAGCGGGAACAACTTCGGCAAAGACACGGGCACTTCTCTCACAACTATCCCCTCCTTTTTCCCGGCGCGGAGAGCAAGGGCAGAGCTCCCTCCGCCCCAGCGGGAGCGCTCCCGGGGCATCCCCGGCTCCCGCCGTGTCCGGGCCCCCAGCCCCGTGTGCGATCCCGCCGGGAGCGGCGCGAAGCCGGGGCACCCTCCGCCGTCCCTGGGATCAGGCACCAGCCCCGGGACGGCAAGTGTTTACGTTCAAAAATACATATATATCGAGCCCGGACCCAGAGGGAAGAGGGGAAAACTCCGCCCCCTCTCTCTCCCGACTCCCTCGGAAAGGCGATAAAAGCTGGGCTGAAATACCTGACCGCTCAGCGCCCCTTTTTTTACGGGGGAAAAAAAAAAACCAGAAAAACATTAAAAGAAAAAGAAAAAAGAAAGAAAGTAGGAATAAAAGAAAAGGGAAAATAAATGCTGAGGAAGCGGCACGGGACGTGCCGGGCAGAAGTCCCGGCTGGAACGGGGAGGCGGCCGGGAGGGCGGATAGTCCGGGCCCGGCCGGGACGGACCGCGMGGGGAGGCCGGGCCGGGCCGGCGGGAGCGGGAGAAGAGCGCGGAGCTCCCGCGGGAGAGAAGCGGGGCAGGGAGGAAGGGAGGGAGTAAGGGGGAGCGCGGCCCGCGASTGGGAGAGGGCACTCACGTAGCGTTTCAACTTCTTCTCCGGCGGGGACTTTCGGAGCCAGCCCGAGCAGACCACCTCCCCGCCGCTCATGGCTGCGCCGCTGCCCGCCGGGGCGCTCTCTCCGCCTCCTGCTCCTTCTCGTCCTCAGGCAGCGGCGACGGCAGCGCTGCCCGGGCCGGCCCGGCCGAGGCAGCCGCGATCGGCGGCGGCGGCGGCAGCACCGCGCCCGGCCCGGCCTCCCAGGGCTGCGGGGCGAGGGGCGGGACGGGGCGCGGGGTGTGTGTGTGTCTGTCTCTCTCGCACAACAGCCCGCCGCGGCGGAGCGGAGCGGGGCGGCCAGCGGCGCTCAGGCGGGAGGGTGCCCCCTGCCTCTTCTTCCTCCTCCTTTTCTTCCTCCTCCTCCTCMTCCTCGCCGCCGCCGAGTCACACGGACATCGGCAGAGACGACAGGGGCGGCGGCCGCCCCGCCGCAACTTGGGCGTCCCGGGGCAGGATCCAGGATCCAGCCACCGCCCCGCTCCGGTGGCACCGCCCCCGCGCCGCCGAGACCCTCCCGCCGGGCAGGGCCGCGGGGGGCTCCGCTCCCTCCCGCCCCGCCGAGCTCAGCGCCGGCCGCCGCGGCTCCCCGGGATCGCTCCTTCCCCTTCTTCCTCCTCCCCCTGCGCCGGGAGGAGGGGATCGGCAGCACTCCTGCCTTCCCTCGCTCGCCTTCCCCTCCGCGGGGAGTGGCGGAGCGGGGGTCTGGCCCCGGGGCTGGGGCCGTGGCCGGGGGCCGGGTCTGCTCCCTGCCGGCCGGCGAGGGAGGGGTTTGCCCTGGAATTCTCGGCGCCGCGTCCCCCCCGAGCCCCCTTTYCCCCGGCGCCCAGAGGCGGTGCCACCCCGGCCGGCCCCGCCTGCCCCCGCCCAGCGCCGCCCCGACTGCCGGGGCTCCCCCCGAAACTCCGCCGGAGCCTTTTCAAACAACAAGGGCTGGGAGGCAGGGAGGGAGCCAGGGAGGGACGGCCGGCGCTTCCTGAGGATTCCTGGGAGCTGTAGTCGGCGGCCGGGGGRGACTGCGGCGGCGCGGCCCGGAGCGGAGGGGCGGGGGCGAGGGACGGGCTCGGTCCGTCGGGGAAAACAAATAAACAAACAAACAAAACCCCAAGCAAGCAAATGAAAAAACCCAACCTAAAGATATCTATTAGAACTGCATTAAAAACAGCGCAGCCAAAGTGAACTCCTCTTAGCAGGTCTGAAACTGCAAAAATTTAATTAGCAAAAATTTAAAAAAAAATAAAAAAGAAAGAAAAGAAAAAGTAAAAAAGAATTAAGGGAAAGATCCGAGTCATTCACCATCTCTACTGAGAGTGCTTTCTGTCTCTTCCACTCCATCAGAAAAGATCGCTAAATAAGTAACAATAAAAATAAATAATAAATAACACACTATTAAATAAAGAACAATAATAGTACACTTTTAAAGAAAATAATTATGATTTTTTTTTCTAAACATTATTTTTTTCCCAAAACATTATTTATTTTGCAGGCTTCTGGAATGGGACGGTTGCCATATTGTTTAGCTCCAGTGCTCYTCCACTGCAGAGAAATAGTCCCCCTAGTGTGCCTTGGCTGAAGGGAGCCCGGCGATGCTGCCATTCATCAAGGTATAAGTGCATTAAAAAGTTATGAAGCAGTGGTTATAGTATATAGGGGCATTTGAAGAAATAATAGGAAAATATAAAGGTGAAAGCCCAGAGGAGTTAAAACCTGTGCAGCAATTTCAATACAAATCTTTTCATGATTACTATGACAGGTGAAGCATTCTTAAGCACTAAAACAAAGACCATCAAGAAAGATATTTTGCCAAAAGCATTTGAAATAAGAAAAGCAGTGAACATCAACCTTTAGCAATATTCAAAGCACACAAATCTGAGCATCCAAACCATTCACACATGAATTTCTGCCCACCRTGATTTCAGCGGCCCCAGTGAGGCTGGTTGAAAGAGTGAAAAAGTGATTTGGTTGGTAAACAACCACTCAAATTGTACTCTTAGGTTTAGATTTCAAGCTGGGTTTCAGCACAGCTCTTTTGTTCAAACAATTAATGCCAGTGTTTGAGAAGCTCAACATTTGAGATTATCCAAGAGCCAGATAAGACCACAAAATTTTCCAGTTTCCTTTAGAACCCTGGAGACRATTTTGTATTTAGAACATGCAGAATCAGTGTGAATTAACTGAAAATGCCATTGGCACTAGGGCGTTTCGACGTGATCCAGTGGTTCATTAGAATCCCTTAATTAACTCGTGCCTTGGGGGCCAATCAAAGAAAGCYTGTTTTGGCTTAAGCAGTCTCCATGGAGGCACCAACCAAACAAGTTATCTGGTCCAGAGACATAAGATTGTTCCTGAAGTCAAATTTCAATACATTTGGGTTCCTAAAGCATGCTGAAATCAGCATCAGCCTGGACTCCCTCATTATTTGCCATATATTTGTTTGTCACTTTTGTGTGGGGGTTTCATCCCTGTCACGTAACGATGAAACTGGGGGAAAAGAGTTAATGTCATAGTGATGAATAATAAATAATAAAACTTGCCTTTTAGACCATACTTAGTTGTTGAGCCTAGTCAAAAGGCCCAAGACTGGACATAAAATGTTTTTCTTGCAGTGTGGAGTTGAAGAAAACATAATACAGCAAAGCAAGATTTCCACATGTTATGTTGTCTCAAGGACTGCTCCTTTCCTAGTGTCTTCACTCATCATCTGCACAGAGCTGTACCTCTCTTCCAAAATTAGTGAACAGCCAGCAAATCCAAGAATATTATTCCTCTGAATTTCTGTGTATATGCAACAGTGCTCTGCAGTTCGTAATTTAGATACCCTGTATCAGGGTAAACTGAAGCAATTAAGGTTAATGAAATGCATAAAGAGTACAATATTTAGGTCTGACTCTTAACACCTGCATATTTGCAACTGGGAAACTGTCTATGAAGAGAGAAGTGAAATAATTACTCTAGTCAGTTCCTCCATGTTGAAAAATTCTTACACTCAGGTAATTTAGGCTAGGGCGTAATTCCCTGAAATTAAGGATAAAAGTCACAAGACCTCTGTCAAGAATATCTGTTTGAGCTACGTTTTTGTCCTAGATGTATGAACAACATTAAGCATGCCCCATTTTGAAATTCTCCTGTAGTATGGCTTGTGCTTGGAAGAACCAAACATCCTTCAGGGCTTAAAGGACTGACACTATGTCAGACACAACCACCATCTCCCCTCACTTTGCTCTCTCAGGTTATTTCTGTGCTGCTSCTTGGGAAACCTGGAAGATAAAGGTGTTTTGAGCTCAATTAATTGCACTACAGTGGTCTTTGGTATTTGTGTACAAGATCTTTGAGGAAGAAGAGAGAAGGAAAGAGGATTTTTTTCTGGAAGGAAAGGGTATTTTGCCTGTTTTTAACAGTGATGTTGCAACTGGTAGCTGTTGGTGTCCAAGAAGAGGCTGTRGCCAGCAGAGCTTCTCCTACCGTGCCGAATCCTGACACCTCATCTTTGGGAGTGTTGCCATTTCTGGATCCCACACAGCCCTTTGCCATCCCAAACAGTCCCTGTGTGGTGTCTGGACACGATGGTCAGCCTTGCAGAGCACACAATGCTGAATGAAGAGCACTTTGACCAGTGAGGTGATGCCACGGTCCCCATGGAATGGGATGACTGCACGCACGTGGTCACGGTGCCAACGCTGCCTCCCAGCTCAGGAAGCACGTGCAAGATGCCTGGATTCCCCCACTGACCTTGTGTTCTTCCACGAGTGCATTCCAAAGTGTTTAAATGGGTTCTCCAAAATTTTGGAGTAGACTATTAATCTATCTTGCCAGATAAAGTAGGTCATGTGGAAATCCAGTTGCCTCCGGTCCGCTTGCCAAGTCACTTTGACAAAGGAAACAGGAGTGATAGAAGAGGAGATTAAATACATATGAGTTTGTTTTCAAAAATATAAAAGATGCTAATTTCTCATGCAAATACTTTAGGAATTCTGAACTTGCATAACAAGACAGTGCTCACTGCAGCTCCCAGCTTTGTGTTATACTTCTGGTGTGAAAACCTCTGCATTCCTCTCTAGTTTCCCCTTGCAGCCASAGACAGCTGTGGCTCCTGATTGTGATCCCTAAACTCCTCTATGCCCCTTGCCTTCATTTGAAAACACAATTTGYACTTCAACAAAAAAAGGACCAAACACTCTAATTAAAAAAATAATTTATTTAACAAAAAAATTTGCATCTTAGTCTATGTCCTAAAACATCTTTAGGTATTTATGTAACAATGAATCAGTGAAAAAACAGAGGTTCTTTCAAGCTTGCAAAAGTCTGCATTTACACATTTGTCTTCATCTCAAATGCTTCCATTTTGATTTCAAAATTATTCCCAGGAAACTTAAATCTAATTATTTTGGTCAGTTTGTAGATGAGATTATTTACTGTTTCTCTCAGACTAGTTATTTTGATTATTTGGCAAAGAGATTGAGGAAAGAAATGCAAACCAGACATAATTAAAAGAGACAACTGTACATCCACACACTTTAGAGTTGTTTACTGGTTGTTAAGCTACCTGATCTCTTTTCTGTGATTACTTTAAATATCGATGTAGGCAAATAAATAAAGAGTATACTGCAGAACTCATGCCAAAAAAGGACCAGTTTTCTGTTCTGCATAGGTGTAATACGTTGAGATTCCCTCTGTGTATTCTGTGGAAAACTCTCATTCCCAGTTCTGGAGTGGAAATTCACTGGTAAATGTTTGTCCTCTGTTTTTTTTTTTTTCACCAGGGGAATCAGTTCCACCTTGCTTCATGCAAGGGAATTTCCCTTTTTTTCCTAGGCTAGTCAAGGAAGAAGGAGCAGGCTGGTGGTTGGCCAGCCATGCAGAAACTTCCTCAGGTCTATGCTGTTCAAAAATTAATCAGAAGCTTGTCCCTCCATAAGGACAATAATACCTTTCCACCTTATGTATTGAAAATGTGTGGACTTTTTCTATCAGAGGACGCATTTTACAAGTTCAGCATGATGGAAACTGAATCGTTCAGCCACTCTAGGCTTGGTGTTGTAACAGAAATAAAAATTACTGTCGAGAGGATCATGTTTCCAGGAAAAAAAAAAAGTAGTGCATGGTCATAAAAGAGACCGATGTTCTAAAGCTGTGCAGAGGCAAGGAAGTGTCAGCCAGGCTCCTTGGTTGAACATGGCTTGTCCTCCAAAAAACACAAGGTGGAACTTGTACTGAACCGCCCAAAAGTAAAATTTATTGCAATGTAGGATTCTGGGGAGTAAGTTAAGAGGCAGCAAATGTAGTGACACTGCAGGCTGGTGGTTTCTGTTACTGCTTTWAAAAGCAGGCTCATATCAGAGAATATTTTGGTTAGAGAGCCTTTTCACACAATACAAAGGTTTCAATAATTCTGCTTACAATGCAAGTGTCACAGTATTATGTCAAGTAGACATGCTTTTTCTTACCTTTTTTTGTCTGAATCTYTGTGCTTAAGCAGTTCATTACAACTGGCATGTTGAAAGTAAATTAGGGAAATCCATTACCTACAAGTAYCTGAAGAAAGAAGGAAAAGTATCAGAATGCCAGGAACGGTTAAGTTTTTAGCTGAAGCTACTCTCTTCCCCTAACAGATTAATCCAAGAACAATGCACAGTGCTCCCAAATTTCAACTATTAAAATAATTTAAACCAAAAAAGAGTCAGATATCTTGAAATGCTTTGACACCCAGTGGGAACATATATTCAAACCCAAGGAAATTAGGCAGTTAAAAAAATATATATTATTTTGCTAAGAGGCCCATCTAATGAACACAAAAAT